TAACTTGGAAAAAAAAAAAAAAAAGGAAGCTCAGGCACTGTGCAGGTCGACCCTGAGGCCCTAGAGCGAGCGGCTGGCGGGGAGCAGTGACATCACCGGGGGCGGGCGGGGCGCGCCGGGGGCGGCGGCGCTGGCGCAGGTACCGCGGGAGCCTTTGCCTTTCTCCCGCTCCTTTGCCTTTCCTCTCTGCCGCTCCTTTGCCTGTCCCGTCCCTGTGTCCTTATCCTCGTCCCCACCCCCTTCCCCTATCCCTGTCCTATTCCCCATCCTCCATTCCACATTCCCATTCCCCCTTCCCCATCCCTGTGCTATTCCCCATCCCCTCTACCCCATCCCCTTACTCCTCCCCCCTGCCCATTCCCACCCCGTTCCCCCATCCCCTCCCTTTCCCCAGGGTGTCTCCGGCCAGTGAGTCTGTAGCAGCGCAGGGGTGATCAGGGTTCCCAGCATTTCTGTGAGTCCTTTAGAGAAGCGGGTAAGAGTGATTTCTCTGGTGCCAGGTTTGGTTCCTGAGCAGATGTGTGTTGGATAAATCAAATGGTGACAAACCCCTTTTAGGTCTTCGTTAGTCTTCACTGATGTAGCAGAATTCAGCTTTTTTTCAATACCTATTCTGCATTTTAATAAACTTTATGAAATCACTCAGTTTCAGGGTTTTTTGTGAAGTAGCAACACTAGTTAGAATCTTGTATTCTATTTCAGTTATTTTATCAAATTAATAATTACTGTAATTGTAGCAGGAATATTTTAAGACTTAAGAACAAAGTTATTTTGTGGAAGAATTTCTTCCTATGGAATGGCCCGCTTTGTTTAACATACCTTGATTTAATGGAAAAGTATTAAGTATAGTATATTTAGACTATCTGCTCTCCTGAAATTGCTCTCAATTGCTTTAAAAATAATTCAATAGCAATATAATTGTCTTTTAAATCAGAAAAGCTGCCTTCATAAGGTAAGGAATATTTACACCTGAATTTCAAATTCCTAATGGGCTACTTGCCATTATTTCTGGATGTGGATGCTTTAGAAATGTATAGATGGATAAATTTATTTATGAGTCCACGGGATGGACTCATTCAAGTCTTTGTATGTGCAATATTTCCTTCTGTGAATCAGATTTATTATGTTTTGACCTTTTTTTTTTTCTCTAAGGGTAGAGTTCTTAGTGCCCCTTAACTCAATCACCTTAGCACTGCTGCAGTGAAGAAGTTGGTAATGATGGTTCTAGAAAAGCCTAACTTCTGAAGAAAAAACATTTTTTCTCTGAGAGCAGTAAATATTCGGAGGATCAAATAAATTGCTCAATAGGTGGAGTTCCACTTTGTATTTTTGGACATGAAAAAGCCACTAACGGCAAGATTTTCAAAATGGTGCTAATCTCAATATTGAACAGGACTTTCTAAAGGTCTTTTTTGGGTTTTTTTTCTGATTTTGCTGAGAATGTTGTGAGTGTTTTTGTGTACTGTGAAGGTTTCATTGGGGGATTTGGATGAAGGTAGGGAGATGATGAAGGTTGTTCAGAGGTGAGATGCAATGAATCCACTCCTGGACTTCTAATCTTTATGCCAGGCATGTTTCACAGAGGTGACAAATTGTCTCTCATATATGGAAACAGTGACTCAGTAATTTTAGATGACACTAGAAAGACAAGTCTTCACTTCCTCTTCCATCCTTGCTGGTTTGGATTATCAGAATTGAATTTCCAGAATTCAACCCCAAAATTCAATTTGCATTAACTGGTTCTGATGTCAGTTTAAAATAACAGCCTTTCTTCTTCTCATCCTGTTTTTATTTCAAAGTTAATGGGGAAGTTCTGCAGGATATAATCAATTCCTTCAAATCATAAAATTAATGCAGTATGTCTATTCTATATCGTAAAAGTGATTTTGAGGTGTAGAATTGTGTGCATTGAAGTAAGGACAATGTGTTACACTCTCCTTGTTTATAGTTCTGCTAGACTTTAATGTGGACTGAAAAAAGATACCAAAAACAAACAAATAAACCTCCTCAATTTAAAAAAGTCAGAGAAGAGTGCTTTTCAGATGAGCTTTTAAAATATTTATATTTTTCTGTATCATTATTTTTGAATTTAGAAATGTCAGTAAGTCACTAGAGAAGTGTTGAGACTGAAAAATGTTTGTTAAAAAAACCCTTTTCATTTAAGCAGTAATACGTGTCCCTTTCTAAAGGTGGTGGAAGGCTTAAGTTTGGGGTCGTTTTATTTTTCAAATCAGTCTCTGGAATTTATGTAAACTGAGAATTAAGGAGCAATCAGAGTTTGGCTGTGAGGGTAGCAATTGACAGAACTGGCTGCTGATATCAGAGAAAATCTTTTTAATTGCTTTCATAGATTCCGTGTAATTAACTCTGTGGTAAGAGAACATGTTTTATTGTATACATGTTAAAATTCTTTATTGATTTCTTTAGGTGGGTGACAGGAAGGGTTGTTTGCTTATCTCATGTCTTGCTTTTTGCCCATCTGGTTTCCAACCAAAGGGGGTGAGTGATAAGTGTGCAGTTGCCTATTTCAACAAATTCCAGATGCTGTAATTCCTCCTTGTAAGCCAGGTGATCTGGAATGCAAGGAAAGTTTAATCACTTAAAATGGTTATTGAATTGATGGGACTTAACCATTCTTTCTATTAAAATTCCTTTCTAAATGTCAGCTGAATGCAGGTACAGTGTGTTGGAGAAGTATTATCCAACAGTATTTTTCTACAGTAAAAATGAGAACATTTTACCTCAGTGAATGTATTGTACACTATATATTTACCTTTTTCGAGACATGATGCATCTTGCTGCTAGACATAATCTTACTCCCCCTCCCCTCCATGCTAATCTTAGTAATTTGGTTTTCTTCTATTTTAGAGCAAGCATTAGAGGATCATTGTACCAAGCAAGATTATAATTTAATCTGTAAACTAAGTTATTTTTTCTAAGTGTTTAACATATATTTTCTTTCTGATGTTGAGTAGTTTATTTGGCAGCTGTTTTTATAGGAATGGGGGTTCTTATTATAAATACACACAGGTTTCCAATTGGAACCTGCTGCATGCCAATAAATCTTGGTGCTTGCACTCTGTCCAATTGATGTCTTTCCAGTGGAAAATTCTAACTGTAATGTGCATTATTGACATCCTAAAAGAAATCATCTGCAAAAAAGTATGAAATATTAATGACATATGAAAGTATTGTATCTTTATAAATAAGACTTTTAATACAAATAGTAATATAAATATTCCTATGGTCAAACCTGTTTCGGATTTTTCTTCCTTTTTCAGGTTTGCTTCCTTAACACTATACATTTATATTCAATATGATTTATTTTGATATTTATTAGAATGTAAAGGTACATATTTCATGTTACTTCAAGGGGAAAAAAAAGCCACAAATGCAATCAGTCTTTTATGTTTGCTTTACAATCCTAGGTTGGACTGTATTCGTTAAAACAGAAGGTATCTTTTGTAATATCCATTTGTATAGACCTAGTAAATACGTTGAGCATATAAAGGACCTTTTGTAACCTGTATGGAGTTGCTGTCAGTTGGGATTCACAAATAAATTTAGTATTTTTTTAATGGGAATTTTGTGCTTTGAACAAGATTGTTCCCTTAAAGAAAGAGTAATTTCGAGACCAAATTGTTAAGTCTTCTGTTTCTTCTGGGTGACTTACTGAAGAAAAAAAAAATCTTAATTTCATTATTTTGTAAACAGCTAGTAATCTGAGTCTGTATCTTTTGCTGATAAATTTTTACTCTGTGTTCTCTATTGAAGGAACACGAATTGCTCTGAAGGGCTTAAGATTGTGTGAAAAAGATGTTTCCTTTAAAAGACACTGTGATGGGTGCCTCCACTTTCTTTGCCTCTGCTCTGCCACATGATGTCTGTGGAAGTAATGGCCTCCCTCTAACACCTAACTCCATAAAAATTCTGGGGAGATTTCAAATCCTTAAAACAATCACCCATCCCAGACTTTGCCAGTACATTGACATTACCAGAGGTAAACATGGTGAGTATCTGTTTAATAAGCAAGTTTTTTATGTTATTTCAGTTTTGGGTTTGGGGTTTTTTGGTGACAATATATTTTAAGGTGACTGACAGGAATACTGCCTTCAAAGCACCAGCAAGTGGCCTCAAAAATTCAGTCTTAAAATTCCTGAATACTTTTGCTATGACCAGTGGTGTTGGTTCTTTTCCTTCTCTGTAGACTCAAAGCAGACATTAGTTGTCTGTCCTGTCTTGTCATGTTACAGTAACAAATAAAAGCTTAGAACTTCCTTCTTTTTTATACTTCACTGAAATTCCTGAGCTCAATTGCTCTGCCATGTCTGTGTGTAGAATATGGAAATATGTGTATTTTTGATGGAGAACTCCTACACCAATGTTCTAATCTTGTGAACATTTTCATGTGATGGCTGAGTTTCTTGTACTTGATTTGCAGCTGGTGTCGTCATCTCATGTCCTGGCTGCAAGCTTCCTGTATTATTATCTTTTGATTTCTTTAAGATTTCTCCCACTAGTGGTTACTTTATTCTAGTACAGTTTTGTAAGTTTTTTTTCAGTATCTGTTATTGTTAGCTGAAATAAATCTTAGGTTCTTTCTTTCTGCTCTAGACATTCTGTTGCAAGCTCAGCAGGACTACAGCACTTAATTTCCACAAAAACACTGCAACACCTGTGACAATTTAAGTCATTACCACCTTTAACTTTTAAATCCACATTGTTCTCATACAAAAGTGCATTGTATGTATCTGATTAGCTACAGGGTCTCATAAAGTAGGGCAAGTAATTTTTTTCCTTTTAGAATGCAGTATGATGGTATGTTTCAGATTTTTATGGAATTAGGATATTGCCAACTCCAGATACTGAAGTATTCTGTAGGTCAGGGAGTTCTTTATGTGTTTTCCTTCACCCTCAAACATGTAATTTTTCACTTATGCAGTCAGGAGGTCTAGAAAATTTAATAATTTTCATTTGTATTTACTAGTACTGCTTGGAAAAAACCCTAAGATTTTCTTACAATATTGTTTGTGATGAAAGATTAGGAAGTATTAACTAACATAACATTTAATAAATAAAAAAAAAATTATAAAACATGGCATTTTTGATTACAAAGAGTAAATAGCATGAAGATTTATGTGTGTGTATAAAAATGAAGGAAAAAATTTCCTTCTTATAGTTGAAGTAACTTGAAGGATAGTAAATAAAATGTCTAACCATGAAGTCAGGCAAGTGTTCTGTTTTAACAATGGTTAGAATGCCAGCTAATAATTTTGATATATAATGGGAAATTTGGCAGCATATTGTATCATTTTGATACTGGAAGAACTTTCCATGTGTCAGTTCTATGCCTAATGATTTAATGCTTGTGGAGTTCTGCTTGCAAATGTCAGTTTCTACTGTAGCAGAGAAATGTGAGAGCAGGCAAGGAAAACAATGCAAAAATAAGTTAGATGTATAAATTCCCCCACAAAAGGCTTTCAAAGGGGGAATATAAAAATAAAAGAAAAACATTCAAATTATTTTTTTGTAAAATTAAACTTTTTAAAGATTTATGCTAGCATTGTAGATGAAAATCTCAAATTTTTTTCTTCCAAAGTAAGCTTAAATGATCTTTTGAACGGAAAAAGGACAAACAGAGTTGAGTAACTAGCATTCCAGCTATAATGTGATGACTGTGTTCCTCAGTTTTCCATCATTATCTTACTGTAACAGTTATGTTACTAAAATGTTTGGGATAGTTTAGTTGATTTGATTTTGAATGTGAACATTGACTGCTAGGTTATTGGAAGTATCAAAGCTGTTTTGGAAGTTTCCTCACATGACCCTGTAGCCTCTTGCACGATTGTCTTTTCCTACTGTGTGGTTGTTGTCTTCAGTCCAACAATACTTTTGGTTTTCCCTCCATATTCAGAAGCAGCCCATCTATCTTCAGAGCATCCCTACAGCTCCATGTTGGGCAAGAGGTGCTACAGCTGGCAATGTGCTCATTGGCCTGTCAGGACTGAAGCTCCTGTGCTCACACTGAGTCCCTTTTCTCAAAGCTGGCCTTACTTTGAGTCTCTTCATCAACCCAGCCATGTATTTCTGCAAATTTATATATACTTATCTTTGAGACCTCTCTTCTTCAGTTGAATCTGACTGACATTGGCTGAGGGCTTAGGTATTTTTTAGGAGATTACTGGATGCTTAGATGGTTGGATTGACAGTGCTTTGCACAAGGAAACTGGGAAAATAATTTTCTGTATCTCATAAACAAAAAATAGTGGTGTTACTCATAAGCTGTACATCTTGTAATATGTAATTATGTGTAATTTTCTGTACAATGTATGTCCAAATCCTTCAACATCTGCCAAATAGGTAAAAGAAGAAGTCTCTACTCTGAGTTTCATCTGGATTCCAGTCCTCTTATACTTTTTTTTTTCCCAAATTAGAGAGACTGGTTGTGGCAGCTGAACACTGTGAGAAGAGTCTGGAAGATTTGCTACGAGAAAGAAAGCCTGTCAGGTGAGGTGTCAAGCTAACTCAAATCCACTCATCCTTATTTCACATATCATCTGCAGCAAAATCCTGGACCATCTTTTAACTTTACTGGTTTATCTAAATTTTACTCTGTTAAACTCCCTTAACCTAAAGGCATTGTTTAGCAGATAAAAATATGCACCCAAAGAAGGAGTACTCATTTCTGTGAAATTTTGTTATGGGGAACCTGCTAACAATTAAAATAAATACTTTGTAACTCAGAAAATACTGTAGTTTTGGGGTTTCCTTTCAAAAATAAAACTAGACCTATGACAGGATATGGAACTTTCTAAGAATCAATGTGAAGGTTAAGTCTGCTAGGTGATGAAATACAGCTTTCACTAGAACAGATGGAATTTCGTGTGTGTTTTTTATTTCTAGAATTCTATTAATTTATCTAGAAAGTGGACAAGATGTCAGATAATATGCCCTGTGTTTGTGTTAGCATTTTGTGGACTTGAACTTGTATGACAGTGTGTGTTGCAGAGGGCTGTAACTTGAGGAACGTTAGGGAACTACAGCTACCATTTTTTCTTAAGATAAAGAGGTATTAGGTGTAAAGGGTTTTTCATGTGTGATATATAGTTCTTCACAAAGTTTTGCATCAGGTTCCTATTGTGCAAGGTTCCAGGAACATTTAAAGTAGAAGTTCTTTTCATTCCTTTTTCATTCAGTTCTCACACTGTTCTTTGAGCATGTGTGTCTTGGTGTCAGATGAGAGGCACTCCAGACTGCCTGCTTCTTTCTAGACTGTTTTGGAGAAGGCTTCCATGTATCTATTTTAATTTGCTTTAAATTGCATGATGTAATATATTTACATAGATTCTGTGACAAAACTTCCTCAGATAGCAGGCATGGTCTACATGCACATCCATTCTGCCCTTTTATACTAGCATGTCTTTTGTGGCCTCCAGAAGGGTTTTTTAGATCTTTTTAGATAGGTTGGTAAGGTATGCAACTTTGAGTTTTGGCCTACTGAAAGAAGTTACTTCCTTAGTTTGTGGTGTTACCTCAGCTCTTTGGGCTGTGGCTCTGTTAAAAGTAGTAGCACAAAGCCTGGCTTTATTTTTTTCCTCTTGTCTTGAGAGAGTTTTTGCTGTAGTAAATTGTTCTACTATCAGATCTTTCTTTTAATGAGCCAGTTGGGATTTCTTCTGGATGTTGTAACACTTGAGGATAAGGGCTACAAGATAGCCTGTATGTATATCCACAGTTTTTAGAGACATTAAAGTTTCATCTACTGTGAATTATGGTTTTTGCAGTAGTACCTAAAGGATAAATTATGTTCACTTCAAATGATGTTTCTTGCAAGACTGACATTTTCCTTTTATTTTTTTATGAAACCAGAATTTTTTTATTCCTATGGAGACCTAGAGACTTTCAGAAATAAGTTGGGAGGACCAATTCCCACTTTTTGGTTATGTGATCTGTCTATATCAGTTACCTTTGGAGGGAATATTTGGCTATTTTATGAATTCTCATTACATTGGTCAGTGATAGCATAGCTGGCTACACATCCAGAGCTGACACGTGTGCTATTGCAATTAATTCTTTCAACTGTTTATGGAATGTGAGAAACTGCTCTTCTGGTTTCTAGATTAATTTTCCTTATGCTTGCCAGTAACCTAAGTCCTTTGCACCTGTACTACAAGCTGATGTAGAGTCAGCAGGAAATCTTCTATTATGTCAGGGCTGAAATTCAAGACATTACATTATGGACAGTCTATCATTCTATACATTCTGGAAAACAGGCCATACAGCTGTTATTTGCAGCTAATCTTTGCTGAAGTCATGCATCAGGTGTAGCATACAATCCTTAATATATGAATTATATTTAAAAAAAAGAAATGTAGCAATGTTCCTTCTTCAATTATCTTCAGACTTTCCCCAGGTTTTCTAATTCTAATAGACCAGTTGCATGTAGGGGCCCAATACTGGAAATTAGAGCTTCAAGTGTTTGCTGCTGTGTTCTGTCACAGTGCAGAAAGTCATTTTACTGAGCATACCATCAAACATTCACCAGAAATTGGAGTTGTGACATATTCAAGAATTCATTCATTCATTACCTAACTGTACTGTGTCAGCAGTCCCCAGGAATTGCAGAGATTGTTTGTCATTGTCCTCAAAGTTAACATGTTCAACTTCATTTTCAAAGATTAATGCAAGTAAGTGTTTGGTAATCTATGGCCAGATTACTTTCTGCTTTGAGTGTTGCATATTTGGGATCCTGGAATAAGCTATAAGAACCCTTCTCAGGTAAATTTTCCCTTCTGTTATAAAAACTCTTATCAGGTAAATTTCAAGAACTCTCAAAGTGAGGAAATGAGTGTCAGGTTTTCACAATTCTTATCCCAGGTAAGCAGATATTGAAAAGGAATTTATTACAGCTCTCTAGTATTTTTTTTTTTTTCAGTGGATAGCCATGTGGACATAGTAACTGCAGTTAATGCTTCTAATAGTGACATTAATCCCAGTTTTCTTTACTGTGCTTCCATTGGGCATCACTGTAACAGCAGGGGAGCTCTTTTGGAGTTGTGTGCCACAGGAAATTCAGGCTGCAACCATGGATAAGAGGGTATGATAAGGGTAGGATAAGAATTTTAGGTATTGATATCCCATTTTTCACCAGACTACTGTCCGTTGTCTTCCCTGAGAGAGATTGTAGTCCAGGTCATTGTTTCCTGTTTGAATGCTCTCAGTTTAGTATCCTCATTGTTGTGCTCACTGAAAGGGTGCACTTAATTTCAGTTAATAACAGTCACACTAGTGCAAAATCAGGGCTCTAAAGTATGTTCAGGAGTCAGTTAAATGTTTTAAAGGCTGGAAATTTACGTAGAGTCACACAAAAATAGTAAATACCTGATTTAAGATCACAATGGTTTATTGCTGTTCAGAGATTTGAAAATGTGTCTCAGTCTAGCTGGTTTCCTCTCTCTTCCTGTGCATACAAGGATTTTTTCCTTGTGAATTAATTGAAAATAAGTCACAAAAAATTATGATGGGTAGATGTTTTGTGCTTAAACAGTCTCACTCAAGTGGGAATCAAAATTTTAGTTTTTCCAAGTTGCTAGTTGTTAGTGTTGCTACCAAAGACCAGAATGTAGCATGTCCATTTATCTTTAAGGTTCTCCATCTTTTAAACACATTTCCAACTACTCCTTTGAGATACCTTTTCCAGACAGTGTTAAAGGAGTTATTTTCTCTGCTCCTGTGCTGTTATAAAAGGAGTTGTGAGCACTTCCTTTCCTGTCATGATTCAAGTGTGATTCTTCTTTGAAGAAGTTGGTCTGCACTTGTATTCGTAACAATAAAAATGCCAGAAAATACTGACATTCAGCAGACTTTTGGCACCTACAGTACAGTTTCTGGGTTGGTCTTCAATTTGTGGCTTGGACAGTCTAAGTCTATTTCTTTCTTCAATAAAATATTGTTGTCATATGTTTTGAAAGTCATGGTATTGAAAAATTACTAGTGAACCATCAGATACAAGGTAGAGTTTGTTATACATGGAACATTTGATGGGAAGCAGACTGTGTCTGCAGCTGTTTACTGGTTTGGAGAAAACATGATCTGATGGATTCGGATGAGTACATTTTATTTAGCTACATTAAACAGTTGTCTGTTCATTGATTGGACAAGAGTTCTTCATGCCATCATTGCTGTTAGTATGCTTTTGGCAAACCTGAAGTGAGACTGTGGTATAGAAGTTATTAAGTGGGGAGGAAAACAATTTCTGAGTAGCCAGGCGTTCTTCAAAAATTTTTGTAAAACAGGTGTAAGTCATCAAAAGGCCAAAGGTTTTGCATGATTTGACTTGAAGAGCTGCATATGACCAGAGTTTCATGGGCTGAGTGTATTCTGCTTTGAATCAAATCTGTGTTGGAATTTTACATTAGAAATCCATATATCACAATAAGACTGAATTTGGCAAAGATAAATTAGGTAATAGTAAAATGAAGTAGTATTAATAAACAAACTTAAAGGTTTTTGCTTTTTTTTACCTAAGCATGTGTGAAGTTCTTAGTTTGGACATTTAGTGTCTATAGACTTTTTCTTTACGTTCTTGATAATGCTTTGCTTGCAAAGGCATGGTGAAAGATTATCTGTTGGTCTGGAATTGTTTATATATTGTCCCATTATGCTTTTCTTCATATGGAAGCACTGGTTTATTTCTGTAAGTAATTCTTAGCCTGACTGCAAATCTTCCTGTAGCATTCCTTTTAGCATAGGTTGTCTCCTGTGATTGCCTTTACTCTCACAAGAAAACAATTGTTTGGAATGGAAAAGGGGTGCAGCTTGCATGAAGCATTAGCGCTGAACATTGTTGCTCAAGATGTTTGAGTGATCTTTTTAGGTATGGAACCAAATTCTTTGCTTGCATAGTTGGCTGCACTGTTTGATGGCAGCACAAGGACATTTCAGAACACATATGTTTCCTCCTTATATGTGAAACATAGCAGTGAGTGCATGCTTGTTTCTTATCTTGTCTTCCGGGGGGGGGGGGGGGGAAGTGAAGAATCCTGCTCTTTGAGTTTGATAGTGTCTGCCTGTTATTAAAATATGGATATGATAGCTGTATGTAATTGTCCTGATTTCAGCTAGGGTAGAGTTAATTTCCTTTCAGTAGCTGTTCCAGTACATGTTTTTGATTTGGAATGAGAGTGGTGTTGATAAAACTGATGTTTTAGTTTTTTTGCTAAGTCATGTTTATCCTGAGTCAAGGATATTTTTCCTTGGCTCATGCTCTGCCAGTGAGGAGGTACACAAGAGAAGCTGGGAGAGGTGACCCAAACTGACCAGTGGGATGTTCCACACCACGTCATGGCCAGCATCAGCTGGGGGAGTTACCTGGACTGGAGGCCAGCCTGGGTCTGGGAAGGGGGCCTGGCACTGGTCAGTGGCTGGTGAGCAATTGCACTGTGCATCACTGGGTTTTCCCATTTTTTTACCAATATTATCATTTACCATTATTGCTGTATTTTACT